GAAAGATTAGTTCACAGCGAAAGATTAGTTCACAGAGAATGATTCGTTCACGGCGAAAGATTAGTTCACAGCGAAAGATTAGTTCACAGAGAATGATTCGTTCATAGTGAAAGATTAGTTCACAGTGAAAGATTCGTTCACAGCGAAAGATTAGTTCACGGCGAAAGATTAGTTCACAGAGAGTGATTCGTTTGCAATGAAAGATTAGTTCACAGTGAAAGATTAGTTCGCAGAGAGTGATTTGTGAGTGATTCGTGAGTTCAATATGAACAAATATTTAATATGACTTGGTAGTCACGAGTCACGAATATTTCATATGACGAGTCATCACGAGTCATATGAACATCACTCGCGAACGACACATCACTACTACTCGGTATTGTTGTTTTCACGCTGTTCCGTGCGGAAGTGCGGATGTTGTTTTGCAGAGACAGTGTGTTTTTCCTGTATCGATAAAAAAGGAGAAATAAAAATAGTTTTTGACCACGAAAAAATCGACAGCCATGCGTCTGAGTCGTCCTATATCCCACCATACATCGACAATACAAAAACACAACACGGCGTCTCCGGGTGTTTGGAGGCACGACGCGACGTTGTTGGATTTGAGTTATACAACCATCCTGTAATAATTGTTGTTGAGCATCTTCTAATTGTGATAACAGAGTTAAAGTTTAACTGTTAAAGGTCATTGTTGGCTCCCAGTGTGCTTCAGTTGTGTGCCATCATGTGTGATGCGCTGTGTGGTTTGGCTTTATAAATTCGGTTCGAGCTCAGTAAGCGCAACCAAAAGTAATACATAAGGCGCACCGGGTTATAAGGCGCACTGTCGATTTGGGAGAAAATTACAGGTTTTTAAGTGCGCCTTATAGTGCGGAAAATACGGTAATAAATCATTATCGTAATCATAATTAGTAACAGATAACCTCTGGTTAAGTACTGTACAATGACATTTAACTCTGTTATCACAATTAGAAGATGCTCAACAACAATTATTACAGTATAGTTGTATAACCCAAATCTGTGCAATGTTGAGTAGTGCCTCCCAACACCCGGAGACTCGTTGTGTTTTTGTATTGTCGATGTATGGTGGGATATAGGATGATTCAGACACATGGCTGTCAATGTTTTCCTGGTCAAAAACTCTTTTTATTTCTCCTTTTTTATTGATACAGGAAAAACACAAACTCTTTCTGCAAAACAACATCCGCACTTCCGCACGGAACAGTGTCAAAACAACAACACGGTGACCGTCTAAAACAAAAATAGTGACAACCGCCTAACTCTGGAGGGGCGAACAACAACAACAGCATCCTCCAGTGTCCAACTTAGGTCACTACCCTTTTCCACAAATCTCAGTCCCTATTGATCTGCCACTCCATGCGCGCCCATCTCACCGATATTGTCAAAACCCAGGTGAAGCAAACTAATTCGGGGCTTGCCATCATTCCGGGTCGATTAACCCCAGAATTCCAACCACTAAGTATTGGTGTTAACATGGTGTTTAAAGTTAAATTGCGAGCTGCATGGCAGCATTGGATGACAAAAGGCGAACACATTCACCAAGACAGGGAGGCAACGCTGGGCAAGTTACGCCACTATCTGCCAATGGATTGTGGATGTCTGGGCTAAGTATCAGTCTCAAATGTTGTTCGAGCTTTCACAAAGGCCGGAATCATCACTGAACAACTAATTAACAGCAACGAGACTGACTCGGATATTGGTGAGCGGGATCCGGACATGCTTGATTGTTCCGCTTAATTGTTTCGCTGACTGTTTTGTTTCGCTTAATGCGCCTTATAACCCGGTGCGCCTTATGTATGAAAATATTCCCGTTCATTGATATTGTGCCTTATAGTCCGAAAAATACAGTATGTGTTTTACTGCCCCACAAAAACAAAAGGAAAAAAAATATTTAATTGATTTTAGTAAGAAAATAAATACTTTTTGGTAACTTACACAAAAGATTGAGGTTTAAGTAATTTACCAAATTTGGACTTTTTTTTTTAATATGGGGACTTGTTTTGATTCTACTCAGTAGTACCAAGTTTACAAGACCTTATATTTGCCAGCAAACACATTGTTTGTTTTTTGTTTGTTTTTAATTTCTTATGTGTCACATTCCCCATCTGTTTACACTGTACGCTGTCCCTAGGTTAGGGTCTCTACTGCCTGCCAAACTAGTCCTGCTTCCAGTTCTGCAGTGCTTCAGCCATCCATCCTCTACTGGACCAGTCTCAAGACTCGTACCATCTGATCTTTCATCACTTTTTAATTATGCTATTTTTCACAATCCTCAGCTGTTTATGATCTGTGCCCAAGTCCATTTTAAACACTGTGACAATAAATAACACTAAAAAAAGTAGGACTTAATGAAGAACTAAGATTAAGAAGGTGTGCCTAATAAATTGCCGGTTTGTTGTTTATGATAATAATTCAATAAATGTGTAAAAAGTGGAACCAGTGAGTGGGTGTAGGTATAAGCTAAACTGATTACGTCATGCCTTACTGCACAAACTAACTTGAGTATGGGTGAAATAGTAGTTGAATGTTTCTACAGGGGAAACTATTTGGGGACCAAAAACTGCTAAGGACAGCAGGTCTAAACTGCTGCTGTTTGGATTTAGGGGAAAACAACTTACCACATAGTTGGTGAATAATGACATGTCCCATATCAGTTCAGGTGAGGGCACTCCGGCTGTGGTACAGGTCAGCTGCACATTGTCTCCCTCCATTATCGTCACTTTAGGTGGGCTAAGTGTTGCCGTGGGTACCTCTTCAAACAACCAGAGGGAGGACAGAGAAGGAGGAGGATTTAATGATGGATTGAAAAGGGTTAAGGTCAGGAAACTTAAGATTCACCACCAACTCTTGGCTCCTCAGTTAAAACACAGCACACATCAACCTCCACAATAACAGTGGAAGATGAAGGATTTTAAATCATGTTATATGCTTATTGCAACAGCTTTTATTATCTACCTCATATGGCAACATTTATAAGTATAGTCCATCCATTTTCCTCCGCTTATCCGTTACCGGGTCGCGGGGGCAGCAGTCGCCACCCAAATCACACTGGGCCGTACCACCCCCCCTTAACCCTTCCTGCAGGTGGTGAGTCCACTGGAAGGTATTAACCGCCCTAACCGGGATTCGAACTTGCCCAGGAGGTGAACCCTGGGGTTCCACACCAATGACAGAGACATTGCCTCTGGGCCAAAGCGCCACATTTATAAGTATAGTGTGAAAGTTTATTCAGTACGTCCCTTAAGGATTTAGCACCCCAGCAGTGAGATTACGAACACCCCAGCAAAAAAGAAAGGAAGCCAAAAGAAGGTGGTAGTTACCTCCCGGGTGACGGGTGCTCTGGTAGATTCAGGCGAAACAGAAGACAGTGATAGTGATGACAGTGACAGTAAGCGACTACTAGCCAAAGGCGAGGCAGTTTTAGTGGATAATGCTAGGTCGCCCTATACCAGGGAAAACAGTAAAGGGAGTGGGCGGAGTTCTCAAGCATCCACCTTCCCTATACACACCATGCAGTTGAGGCCTCAGAAAACAAAACAGTCAGGAGCGACAGGAAGTCAATATCCCATATTGCGAGGCGAGGAGACCAAGTACAGGCGGGGGTAAGGAAGACTGGACCAGACAGACTGGTGTGAATCCCAGCCAACCTGGCGTCCAGCAGCAGTGGTACCAAAGAGCTGTAGAGGAAGGCTTACCCTCCTCTATTCACAGGCCCTGAACGGCAACCCTGATCTGCCAGGTAGTGAGGCCACTGTGTGGGAAAGGCATAGTGCGTAGATCACCATATGAACACCCACAAAACAGCAGCCGATAATAAAACCTCTGAGATCAAAGAATTGCAGAAGCAGCTATTAAAATTGCAGCTAGGACAGGCTGGGAAGGAGGCTACAGAGCTGCGGAAAGGTAAAAAGGACACATCTGCCGCCCAAATGGTGGCCCAGCCTCAGCCTCTACCCCCACCTCAGCTACCGGTGAACCAAGACCCTTACCCTGTCCCGCCTTGGGCACCGTAGAGGAGTAAACTGGAGGGGACGGGGTGGAAACTTCCAGGACAGACGAGGGGGCTGCTTTCGTTGTGGCGATCCTGAACACTGGGAGAGAGACTGCCCATACTAGCAAGCACCTTCAAATCACCGACAGGGGGCACCATGGTATCAATCTCAAGGCAGCGACAGTCGACAACAAGGTCCCCCACAACAAGGGCAATATCCCTCCATGCCATGGGAGGGGGAAGGGCCCTACTCCGCATGAAGGTCCCCACAGAGATGCCTAGGCGTGGGAACACTGCCAGAGCCCACGCTACAAGTGCAGATCGAAAACCTTGAACTTCCTTTTTTGGCTGATACAGGTGCAACTTATTCCACTCTCAAGTACCTTCCATCCACGACCATGCTATCATCACACACCATTCCACTGGTTGGCTTCTCTGGGGAACCGCGAAATCTGCCCTTCACAAAACCTGTGAACACTGCTCTGGCAGGACATCTGCACAAACATTGCTTTATATACTTTAGCTCGTCCCCTTAACTTAATGGGAAAAGACTTGTTGATTAGGTCGGGAGCCTCCATTTTGTGTTCCACTGAGGGTCTAACAGTAACCTTTCCCAATGGGCAGTTGTTCCAGTGCTCCCAAACCTCTGGGATAAACTGACAATGGTTGATGAAGCCACTTGATCACCAATTGGCATGCGCCGACATCTGCTGGGCACAACTACTACCTGAACCGCCAAGCGGAGGGGGCATACTGCGTCTGTTCCACCAGTGGAAGCCCTGGATCATGCCGCTCCGGGGGGGCATACTGAGTCTGTTCCAACAGTGGAAGCCCTGGATCATGTCCCTCCGGCCCTATGGTCTGCCCTCAGACCCCTTGCATGTTATAGAGAGTAATTGGCTTATAAAAGCTGACCGGTTGTTCGTGGCGGAGGAGGAGGGAGTGGCAGCTGACGTTCAGTTGACTCCAGAACAGTCAGAGTGGTTCAGAATGCAGGCAGAGAGCGTGCCCCATGTGTCACTAGCCATCCATCCTAAATGTCAGGCAAAAGAACTGGGCCCAATGGTCAAGAGGTGTAAGGCAGGCACAGACTGGCAGGACACGCAATTACCACATGTCCAGTTCTCTCCATCACTAAAAGCGTATCAAATAATGGCCCACACCATAGACAACTCAGTGGTGGAACATGAACAGTTGGAGAGGTGGCATGGTAGAGAAATGACCAATCATGACCAAGCTCAGGAAATGCTAGACACGCTCCCACCCTCCTTGTGGTCTACTTCACCTACGAATGTAAGCTTCTGCACCTCTTGCACTCTAGTCTCATTCACGGTAGCAACACCTAAACCAATCTGGTTGCCCTTGTATCCACACAAACCACCTGCAGAAGCGGGTATTGCCGACACCATAACAGGTTTACCCCAAAAGGGGGTGTTAGAACCCTCGCAGAGTGCATGGAACACGCCCATCCTCCCTGTGCAAAAACACGGAACTACAAAGTATAGGATGGCACACGATTTACGATCCATCAATGCCGTAGTTACTACCGCCGTATTGATTTGGCTAACGCATTTCTTTGCATCTCCCTGCATCTCAGTTGCAGAGACATCTTTTCATTTACTTACAGGGGCCGTCAGCTGAGATACACCCGTTTGCCCCAAGGTTTCAGTCTGTCTCCAGGACTGTTTAATCACGTGTTGAAACAAATGCTCACAGGATGCCCCCTACCCCCGGACACTACTGTAGTCCAATATGTCGACGACATCCTTATTGCAGCAACTTCTGTGAAAGACTGCTTACGGGCAACACATGCAGTGCTACATCACCCCAAACCCCAAGTTGTGTCCCCAGCACACAAAGACAATATCCTACATCACCCCAAACCCCAAGCTGTCAAAGACATGTAATCATTCTTAGGTATAGCCAACATTACATCCCAGGCTACATATCCTTGACCGTGCCCCTCCGAAAATTGGTTAATGATCAAGAGATGCGAAATCTCACCGCTCCACTAGCATGGACCGAGCCCGCAGAGAGAGCCTTTATTGACCTTAAAGCGTCTCTGGCTCGAGCAATAGAACTGCCGTTACCAGACTACTCTGCACCATTTCATTTGGATGTTTCTGAAACAGAAGAGGTGGTGAATGGAGTTCTGTTTCAGAAAAAAGGGGGTAAGAGACAGGTATTGATGTATTTAAGCTTTAATCTAGATGTGATGGAAAAACGACAGCCAGAGTGCACCAGACACGCTGCCAGAGTGGCCAAAATGGTCCAGAAAACACATCTAGTAATGGGTCACAGTAACAGTGCTAACAACACATAGTGTAGTAGCCTACGTCACCTCCCAAGCGTTCACCATGACATCACTCAGACAGAGGAGAATGAGTAAGATTTTGGAGGTAGGTAACCTTACGTTTACACATTAAGGAATTAACATGGCGGATCAGATGGGGGGAGGAGAACCACACACATGTCAGGCAAAGGTGAAAGTTGAGATCAAAGCTCGATCCGACTTACAAACAGAACCAATCCCTCAAGCCGAGGATTTATTTACAGACGGTTGTTGCTTCAGAAAACCCAACAATGAACTACAGGCAGGATATGCAGTGGTAAGAAGGGATGGAAAAGACTTTGAAGTGATCTGTCAGGAGAAGGTTACAGGCAGCCAGTCAGCGCAAAGAGCAGAGGTTCTAGCTATGATAGCAGCGCTAACATGGAGTGAAGGTAAACGAGTTAACATTTATACAGATTCGGCTTATGTGGTAGGAGCGGCTATCATAGAACTTCCGCAATGAAAAAGAGCAGGGTTTCTGACAGCAGATGAGAAACCCATCAAATGTGAGAAAGAGATGAAGAAGCTGTTAGAAGCTCTGCAAAAACCACAGGCAGTGGCCATCATTAAGTGTAGAGGCCACAGCGGGTGCATGCTGATGGTTTACATAACAGGATGGTGTATGGTACGGATGGCACTGACTGTTACGCTTGGAGACAGAGACAGGTCACAGAACCGGCCTGAACCAGTTTCTCTGCCCATATAATGAGAAAAACAGAACATCAAAAAGGAAAAGAATCTAAAGTGTATTTCTTTGAACCTGAGTTACTGAGCAGAATAGCTCAGCACATGTACATGTTTTCTATTGGTGGAGAATCTTTGTTTGAAGCAGCCTTTGCCAATCAGCGCTCAGAAGTTGCGCGTGAACAGCACATGGCTGTAAAGGGTTAAGGTGCTGACCATTGATGTGTATGTAGAAAAAACTGTATTTAAGCGTTGAGCACTGAGGAGCTCCTCAGTACAGTTCTGAATGTAACCATTGTTCTGCACTCCTTGCTTGCAAGTAAAACTTTTAAAACTTGAGATCTCGTATTTGATTCTTTATTTGATCAGATCTTTATTTAATCTTTATTTGAATTCTTTGTGTTAGGGAAATGGGGTATGAACTAACAGCATTTTTTACAGTCCTATCTAACAGAGAAAGTTTCCTGACATTTGTTAAAGACCAGGCCAGATTATTTCTTAAAAAATAATTCTGTTAATCTTTTTAATTCATTAAAAGTACATTCAGACATAAATGCTAATAGTAGCCAAAATCTTTTTTATTATTTTTTCACAGAATTTTTGTGATTTATTTGATGTAAATTGTCAGATTTTCTAATGTCATGGAGTGAGTCATTAGTGCACTCAAGTCAGTCTCCCTGTCTGAGTCCAGTTTGACCACATCATCTGCCACTGTATGCTCTGTCAAGAACATTTTTTGATTATG